CTGAAGATCCCCTTCGCGCTGGAGAAGATCGTCAACCTGCCCGTGGACGACTTCAACGAGCTGCTGTCCCGCTACCAGCTCACCGACGCCCAGCTGGCCCTGGTGCGCGACATCCGCCGGCGCGGGAAGAACAAGGTGGCGGCCCAGAACTGCCGCAAGCGCAAGCTGGAGAACATCGTGCACCTGGAGGCCGAGCTGGGCCAGCTGCGGGCGCGCCGGGAGCAGCTGGCGCGCGAGCGGGCCGAGTACCAGCGCGGCCTGGCCCTGGCCAAGCGCCGCCTCTCCGAGCTCTACGCCGACGTCTTCGCCCGCCTGCGGGACGAGGAGGGGCGGCCCTACTCCCTGGACGATTACTCCCTGCAGCAGACCAGCGACGGCAGCGTCTTCCTCGTGCCGCGCAAGCCCGGGGAGGAGGGGGAGTGACCCGGGCCGGGCGGGTCGTGCGCTCGCTACCCCCCCCCCTCCTCCCCCTACCGGGCCGGCGGCAGGGCAGGGATCTCCGCGGGGGCCAGTGTTTAAAGACTGCGCAAGAGCCGCCGCCCCCGACAGCCCGGGTCAGTGCGGTCGGGTCCGGAGTCCTCCCCCCTCTCGGCCCTGTGTGAGACTCGGGACCGAATGTCAGCTGATTAGGAGCCGTTCAAAGCGCCCGTCCCCCGACAGTGCCTTTCCCGAGGGCGCTCTGGGTTGTGACCGAGGCCGACTGTGTGCACCTCCCCCCACAGAGACATGAGGCGCACGGAGGAGTCCCCCCTCCCCCCTCCCCACTCCAGAGAACCAGAAGCTCAAGGCAGGAGCGAGGAGATTCGGGAAGGGACGGACCCCCCGCCCCCACGATGTCGACGCTCCTGGCTCCCCGTTTTGCGCCCCTTCACTGGAAAGCGGGGAGCCCATATTGTCGCAGGAAGAGCCCCGCTGTCCTTGGCGCTCAGGAGCCCCAGGCTGTGCTACAGCGCCCCGTGGACAGTCTGCTTCTCGACAGTCTCTCCGAGAGACAGACTTCCAAGATGGGGCGGGGGTCCACACAGAATTCCCATACGAGATTACCCCTCCGGGGGGGAACGCCGATGAACGGGCAGTGCTGCAGTTTGGCATTCACACAACAAGCGCCTCTCCGGGCTCTCTCTCTCTCTCCTTGGCGTTGCACACCGACAGTGGGGGCGCACTGCGAGTAGAGACCCCTGTTCACCTCTGAGCCTTAACCTCCACAGCACGAAACTTTCACGTGAAGAGAATCAACTGGGATAGTCCCTCCCCACTAAGCCCCTGGAGTTTAAGCAGGACTGGGATCTCATTCCATCTCCCATAGACATGCTAGGTGAAGGGGTGCCCTGCTGTAAACTGGCATCTCCTCTTTGGGCAGTACGTGCCCAGTGTGATCCCCAGAAAGTCGTGATTCACCTGGAGAATGGGCGACTTCCTGCTCAGAGCACCGATCCGGTCAAGGCATACAGGTCATCCTGTCTCACACGTGCTATTGATGGGTCAGTTAACACACCAGGCTCCATTAAGGGAGCTCTGCTCCTTGAGGTGGGAAGGGAAGAGGGGCAGTTTTGCTCCAACCGATTGCCTAGTTTCACAGAGCACCTTGAAATGGATGACAAATTCCTAATGCCTTCAGAAACCGAACACTTCATAAATCCCACTGGATCAGGGCTTTCTGGAGGCAGGGAAGGGAGACCCCTGGGTATAAGCAACAATGGTATAAGACAACTACCACAGATTGGACAAAAGGGCATTTCAGAGGCAGATGTTCTGCTCTCACAATCCCACTTTCCAGCAAAGTGCACCCTCCCCCCACAACCTCCGTATCCAAATCCAAAAGCCAAAGCGCGAAGGCGATTGCTTTGTACAGTGTTGCATTAAAACCAAATGTCTCAGGTCTACAAATGTATGAAGAACCTTGCTGTACATCATGGGTGGCCAAAGAAATTGCAATAAAATATTTCTCTAATCCTCTTTGAACTTCTTTTTTTGTATACCAGGCGTTAAGAACTGCACAGCCCAAACAGATTTAACCCAGCATGACCAGGACACCCCTGTTCCTCCCCGCCCTGCTGAACACCATGCACACAGGCAGACCCATCTGATTTTGCTCCGCGTCTTATAGAAACTTGTATGGGACGGGGGGGGTCATGTCCATTTATGTAGCTGCTTCCCATGCAAGCCCAAATCTCTCTCCCAAGTTCAATCTGGGGAGCACTAACGAACCCAGAACCCCCAGTGCAGGAGACGTGGCAAAAAGGTACAAGTAAAGGAAACTCCCTCGGATCACCTTACGGGATTACTGCAAAACAAAAACAAAAACCCAGGCTTGGTGCGCTTTGCATTTCTGTATTTTATTAGAAATATAAAAACCATTACAAAACCGGTAAAAAAATAAAAATGCTGTCCTGCAGACTTCCAGTGAAGCTTTTTTTAAAAGCCATCCTCTTCGCATTCCTTTAAAAAGCCTGCAAGACAAGAGAGGGAGGGGGGCGAGAGGGTTAGGAGAGCAGAGCAGAGCCCAGCAGGCCACGGCACATCGCACGAGGCAGTGGGCCAGCCGGCGCATACTTCCCGCCGCCAGCGGCAGGCCCAAGGGCCCGCAGGAATTTGCCGCGTCCGGGCAGCGGATTCCTCTCTGCCCAGGCACCCCAGCTGCACAGCCACATGAAGGGGCTCGCGACGACAACCGCTTGATTAAAGCAAGTCAGCGAGGGCTGGTGGCTGGCTGGCCCGGGCTTACATCACCCGGCCACTGGGGAAAACCGAGGGGTTATTAAAAAAAAACAGGCAGGCAGGCAACCCCCCTGCCCTGGGAGGGGGGGTCACAAGACCCCCCAGCTGGCCTCTGATGGCACCCAGATTTCACACCGATCCCTTATCTCCCCCCTGAGAGACTTCATCAGGAGTGGGCGGGGGCGGCATGAAAGGCATCAAGCAGCAACACAGCAGCTCCCCCTGCTGGTGAGCGGCGATCAGCCCCCGGCAGAGCGCGAAAGCCAGAGTGAACCGGGGGCCAACAGGTGCACCAATAGGAGCTAGCAGCTTAACCCTTTGACATGATACAAGACGCACTTGAGAGACGGATACAGACGGTCAGGAGGCTCGAGAAGGAATAAGGACTGGGGTCGCAGCAGGAACTGGGACCCCGTCGGGCTGGTTTAACCCTCTTCCTGATGAGCCCTCCATTAAAAAGAGGACTGTGCCCCACGTCAAGGGAGCTCTGGAGCGGACTCCGACCCCGGGTAGCGGAAGAGGCGCCCCCCCCACCGCCCCCCAGGAGCCGGGCGCACCCCCTCCCCAGGGAAAGGGTCAAGGAGCTGCTTCAGTAACCTTCGTGTTGGGATTGTACTGGACGCACCTTCTCAAGGCTGATCAACATGCCCACTTTGTCACGTCAGGCTGGAGGTGCCGGAACATCCTTCCCTACCAAGTCCTGAGAACAAGATCTTTAAGTTAGTACATTGTGCACAATTAAAATACAAACACTCACAAGCAAGTGACTAAACTGCTGATCATTATGGCTTGAATCAAGATGCCCTTATTCGATTAACTAGGTTAATGTCATTTCTGAAAATCAGTGGAGTACATGGTTGTCCAGGACAAAGATTTGCTTTCAAGTTACCTTCCTGAGATATCAAGCTTCCCAGCATGCATTAGTGCCCAACGGAATGTGCACCAGGCGTCGACTTAACCTGCTGGCCACCAGGGACCAGCAACACTGACCTGTGCACTTCCAAGTCCAGAGCAAACTAAGTTCACATGAGGACAAAAGGCAAATACAGATGCTGAACTTCAACTTTCCCCACCCCTTTCATTAAAAGCCTAACAGTCTGGGTTTGAATCAACCAGGCAACTTTTCCCAAACCTTACCACCTCCCTCCAAGAAACGACAGCCAAACCATGAATATGGGTTTTAATCTGCTCCACCCCTCCAATCACGTGCATTTCTGTCATGCAAGATTTGACTCCTTAGTTGGCATTACCCAATTTTATATACCCCATTACAAGAAACTTCAAAGCTACTCAAACCTGTGAGGTTTTGTTCCAAAAACTAGGCTGTCTTGTATCTGGGGAATAACCCACACTAAAGCGTCACACACAGATTAACATACCCTCAAAATTCCCTCTGCATCACCTGGTTTAATTTGAACTGGCTGAAACAAACCCTGGACTGAGAGAGGATTAAGAACTTAAACAAAAGTTGAAAAATCTGTTCTTACCTACTAAGCACGGTATAAATATACCCCTTTCGTAGCTGCTGACTCTGCTAGTCTTATTAGAGCAACGTTCTGTACTCAGAAAGACTTCTCTGGCTCCTTGCGATGATCTCTCTGGCTACTGCTCTCCCTGGCAGCTGCCTCCAATGGCTAGCCTCAAGATACGCTCGTAATGCAAGCCTCCAGCCGGGCAATGTGGCCGAAACCAGCGCTAAAGACTCCTAGTGGCACCGTTAACCTTTCCGAAATAAAAGGGTCCTCATCCAGTGAAGAAACCAGGCTTCCAAGCACATGTAGAAGAGGAGAGTGGGACTTGCTCTTAATCCCACACTCCACAAAAAAACCTTCCAACTCAAGCAGTCTTTAGGAGCCCCCTTTTCCCCCCCAAAGACCGGGGAGCATGAGCCATTCAAACGATAAAAAAGGGTCGCTTTAAAATCCAGTGCAAAAATTGCACTCACACAAAAAACAGGTTTTAAAAAGACACCCCCCCCCCCCCCACAATCACCCTTCATTAATACTTGATCTGTCTGCTCTGGGTGATGGCCGAAGTGAAGCAATGACCAGCTCAACACCAGCTACCAAGCGTCAAAAATCCTATTTAAAAAAAAAAAGCCCAGCAGAAAAACCCAGCTGGCCAAAAAGAGTGCAGTTCACAGAACATCCAGTAGGAAAGCATACTGGAGTACAAATATACAAGAAACTGCAAAGGACAAGGGGGTTTTGCACTACACTTAAAAGCTTGGTTAGCGACGGCAAGCTGGATTATGCTGAAAGATGGCCGACGGATTGCTGTGCTGGAGTCTGAAGGGTTCTGGGACACGGGGACAGGTGAGCCAGTGCAGCAAACTTGTGCTCAGGTGGAATCGACCGCCTGATCCACGTCTGCGGTGCACGACTGCCCGAGCAGGCTACCTTCACTGCTGCAGTACTCCACCTGCCGTCAGGAAGCATGACGGCGCCGAGACCTCTACCCAGTCACATGTCACCTACACAAACACTACACACCTTTTTTTTAAAAAAAAGTGTAATGTGGTTTATTTTGACTTGATTAGTTGCAGTTACACTTATAAAAACACACACACCACACAGGTGCTGCCAAAAAAAAAATCTACATAAAACCATCTGGAATGCTTGACGCTTTTTACAACAAATTGCAACTACAAAATATCCTGCTGGATGGCATTTTTTTTTCCACAAACACAGAAACCATGTTTGAAGGCTCAACATGATACAAGGAGTCTCTACATTGTTATTTGTACACTTCATGCTCTTCCATGTAGCAGCTGTAACCTGCCACAACTGTGCTTGGCTGAGCAGATCTAGGGTGTGAACCTGCTGCTTCCCTGTCACTTCCTGTCGCTCTCCTCTCCTAAGTACTGAACCCTGTTGAACAATACGGAACAGCATTATTAATCTGTGTACTGGCTTCATGTATAATAATGAATCTACATTGAAAACAAAACTTACAGGGAGGCACCCAGGAGCAAAACCATCACTTTGTGTTGTGCATTGAAACCCTCCCAGAAAACAGAAACCAGCTCTTGAGCCGAGCCAGCAGAAAGGAGAAAGCTTTAAGTCAAGGCCAAGGAGTCCAACACTAATTGGATTTTAATTGAAGGCTTTTTTTTTTTGCCAGAGCAGGGGTATCAGTGCTGAGAGTTGGGGGAACACATGAAGGTTTGCTTCTGGATCCTCTGCAGAAAGCACTATTCAGTCACAGGTTAGTCTAACAGTTACATATTCATCAGGCTCTTGTATGTAGAACAGCTGTTTAACGTGAGCCAAGACTGAGGAGACCCATCTTCAAAGTTACTCTGGTCTCTCAGGTTGAGCAGACTATGCAGCGACACAAAGACAAGAGGGTACCGAAACGGGGGTGCCCTTACCTCCTCAGAAGTGGGGGGGTTCCCTAGAACCTTCGGCCTCCGGCACTGCTTCCATAACCCCCACTGCCTGAGCCACCCCCATAGCCGCCTGGGAGACAAGGAAGAAAGGCCATGAATAAGAGGTGGGGCTATCGCTCGTTACCCCACACGAGGAGGGCAGAGCCAGTTGGCACCTGCCCGGGACACTGAACGGCCAATTTCACACTTGGGAAAGTTTCCATCCCAACATCAGCAGCTGGTTTTCCTCCATCACTTTGCGATTGCATAACCAGTTAGAACATGACGGCAAAGCTATTGGTCAGAACGGGGAAACGTGTCGAGCTGCACGGCTCATCGCGCCAGTGCTAGTGTGATAAGTGAACACAGGGACGGTGCTCCCCCCTCCCGGGCGGAAGGCTGCAGCTCGGGCACGTACCCCCATATGGGCCTCCGCTGTTCCGGCCGCTGCCTCCTCCGAAGTTGCTTCCCCCCTTCATGGGGCCGTAGCTGGAGGAGGACTGGCTGTTGTAGTTGCCGAAGTCGTTGTAGTTCCCGCTGCCGCCGAAGCTTCCTGCGAGGCCAGAAGAAGAAAAATAAATAGAGATCTGGTTAGCCCCGTAGGGCACCGGCACAGTTCAAGTTAAGCCAGGCTCTCCCCTCGCGCGCTGGGGTGCCTTCACGAGCCCTCGATTCAGAGTGAGCTCCTGCAGCTTTCAGGCAAAGCACAGTAACCAGCCGGCCGAGCAAGTCCGGACCAACTGAGGCAAGGTTGAGGGTACAGGCAAGATACCTCAGCCCTGAGGCACCCAGCTCCACCTCTTAACTGGGATCCAGCACTGACAGCATGCGGAAACTCGACCTCCTAGCATGGTGACCGACAGACAGACAGACGGTCACCCCACCCCCACCCGGAACCAGAACGCAGGAGGCTTTCAATCAGCTGCTGGAACGTCAGAAAGCACTCGGCTGGTCCGCTCGGGCACTCCGCGAGGCCACCACAAGCCGAGGCAGAAAGACCCGGAGACCCCGCCGCGCACCGCTCTCCCGCCAGGAGAGAGGCCGAGACCGTGGCCGCTCACCTCCTCCGAAGCTGCCCCCCCCTCCGTTGTTGTAGTTGTCGTAGCCGCCTCCGTTGCCTCCGTATCCGCCCCCCTGCCCGCCGCCGTAACCCTGCCCTCCGCCGTAGCCACGGTTACTCCCGTAGCCAGGGCCGCCGCCGTAGCCACCTGCAGGAGAGAGAGAGAGAGAGAGTTCGATGAGGGAGGCGCGTCGGCACGCGCAGGCCGCAGCCAGGTGAGGGTCTATCCCACGCGCCCGCTGTGGAGCCGCCTTCGGGCGCGAGAGAGACGGGAGAACACAACCCCCCCCCAGGAAGAGGCAGGAGTAGGAACGAGGCAGTGTGGACACTCAGCCGGTCAAGTCAAAACCGGCAAACGAACAGGCGGGATTAGATGGAAACAAGTCCGAGGGGTGTGTTCGGTCAAATCGAGCATCAGCTGCCAGTTTTCCCCTCTCACACCCGAAGAAGCAGCCCCACAGCTGAAAGAGACCCCGACTGCGGGTCCGGAGCCACGGATCCCCTCCGGACACTGGCGATACTGGAATTCAGCTCTTAAAAGGAGAAGCTGGGACGTTCAACCCAGGCCGCAGTAGAAATATATCTTACATATACTATTAAAAATAAACAAGTAGCGATAAATCCAAACTCACTGTCTCCTCCAAAGCCGTTGTAGCCCCCATCTCCTCCATATCCACCACGGCCTCCAAAGCCTCCTGGGGTAGCAGAAGAAAAAAACAACAACCCCGAGGTGGTCAGTGCAGTGTAACAAAACAACCTGAATAAAATTAAATCCAAGAAATGCCAGGGGGGGGTTGGGGTAGGGAGGGGACAAAAGCAAGTTAAGGGGAAAAATGATTAAAAGGAAGAGAGATAAAAAGGAAAAAAGTGGTTTTGAACCACATACCACGGTCACCGAAGTATCCATCACGGCCAAAATCATTACCTCCAAATCCACCACCTCTGCCAAAGTTCCCTGAGCTGCTGCCCCCACGTCCTGGAAAGAACGAATGTCACCACAAAAGGACACCAGGCTCGGGGGAGCATTTTAACCAAGCGCACGTCTTGAGGCCTGCACAGCGCCACAAAACCTTCACAGTCCTCTACACGAGAGCCAGGAGGAACCCAGTGACAGACCACTGCACCGATCAGCTACCAAGCAGGACAGATGGACTGGACGGGCCCCACACACCTGCGTGTAAGGACCCAGTGCTTTCTCCTTTGGTCAGAATAAACCCCCAAAAGCACTCGGGTCTAAAGCCAAATCAATTCTGAGATAAGAGCACCCAGGGTCATCCCCCTCTCCCAAAAAAGAGCCGAAAACACCAATGGCACAGGGTCCAAGACCCCCCCCCCCCCGCCCCACCCCAAGCGCAGAGGGCTTACCTCTCATGTTCATCCCTGCGCTCGCCATCTCCTGCTTCGACAGCGCTTTCCTCACCTCACAGTTGTGGCCGTTCACTGTGTGGTACTTCTGGACTGCGGGAGAGCGAGACAGGACAACGGTCAGAAACTGACACACCCCAAACCAGGGGTGCAGCACCACACCCCCAAAACCCCCTCCCCCCCTAAATACCCACAGCCAAGAAGCCAAAACAAAGATCCGTTTAAATCAAACTCACACCCCGGCATAAGAATGTTCGGCACACGAGTTTTTGCCAATCTGAACATGAAGAGTTTGAGCGAACTTGTCTTCGGTTCGGAAAGGGTGGATTTATGATCTTCCGCCTTCCGAACAGATTCCCCATGAACGAATCAGGCTCGGATACCGGGGTACGGGTGTACATTGGAGAGGTACCGGCACACGTCGCTACGGTGGCCTGGCAGGCTCCCCCAGGGGCGCCACACCCCCCAGCACAAGGCCCGTCGCCCCCCACCCCCACACTTACTGACGATCCGGTCCACGGAGTCGTGGTCGTCGAAGGTGACGAAGGCGAAGCCCCTCTTCTTGCCGCTGGCCCGGTCGGTCATGATCTCGATGACCTCGATCTTGCCGAACTCGCTGAAGTAGTCGCGCAGGTGGTGCTCCTCCGTGTCCTCCTTGATGCCGCCCACGAAGATCTTCTTGACGGTCATGTGGGCGCCGGGCCGGGTCGAGTCCTGGGGGCAAGGAGACAAGGCGGGTCACGAGAGGAGGAGGAGGAGGAGGCCGGGGGGTCAGTCCAGCCCCCTAGGGCAGCTACTGGCTTAAATCGACCCCATCCATCTGGGGGGTGGCGGGGTACCGGCTTCAATAACGTGGCTGAACAGCCTGTTCCCCACTCCCACCACTCTTTGGGTAAAACGGAACCTGCTGCCCCAATCAGAAGACTGAATGGATATTCTGCAGAGCCGAAAAGGAAGCCAGGGAAACCAGCTTCAACATCAGTTCCCTCCTACCACCACCCTTTGCGCAAAGACGTTCCTCCTGTTCTGGCTCCGCAGTGCGGACAACAGGTCCCGCCGAGGACCGACGAGCCCCCCGCGTGTATCGGGGTGGCAGGCAGCGGCTCCACAGCTCTCTGGCGGGCCCTCGATCCGGAAACACTCTCCCCAACCCCAGGGAAAACAGACAGCAGACTGGGGGGGGGCTCACCTCTCTAGACACGGCGCGCTTGGGCTCCACCACCCTGCCATCCACCTTGTGGGGCCGGGCGTTCATGGCAGCGTCCACCTCCCGCACCGAGGAGTACGTCACGAAGCCGAACCCCCGGGACCGCTTCGTACTGGGGTCCCGCATCACCTGGGGGGAGAGAGAGAGGGGGGGGGTCACATCAGCACTGGAGGCAGAGGGAGAGAACTGCGCCGGGCCCCCTAAACTGAACCGGTTCCCCCCAAGCTTTAGGAAACCAATCAAAGTCACAGTGGTGGGGTCACCCAACCAGGGTCCCGGGCGGGACGCTGCCCTGAGTTCTGGGACTCCCAGCCCACACAGATCACGGCCTGAGCTTTTAGTCCGCTCCCACTCGCGGCCGCCAGGCCTGACAAACACACCCCCCCTCGCACAGCCAGGGCAAAGGGCAGGCGCTCCCCGCACCACAAACCGGCGCGTCCCGGGATCGTTTACACCCGCCCCCACACCGCGAGCACGGGGCCCGAGGGGGGGGGGTCTCTCCTCTCCTTACCACGCAGTCCGTGAGCTGTCCCCATTGCTCGAAGTGGGCTCGCAGGCTCTCGTCCGTCGTCTCGAAGCTCAGCCCTCCGATGAAGAGCTTGCGCAGCTGTTCCGGTTCACGGGGGGCCTGCGGGGGAGAGCGGGGGTTAGAGGCAGGAAGCGCTGGGTAAGAGGCAAGCCGGACCCGCCGGTCACCCGAACCCGGCCGGAAACCCGCGACGATTACACGCCCTGCAGAGCTTATACGCAAATGAAAACTTCCGGTTACACACACGAAGATCTGCTCCGCTCCGAATCGGCAACGCCAATTCCAGAACGCAGAAGCGAAGCGGCCCCAGGCCGGCGCGTGGGCACGCTAGCCAGCCCGCGTGAGCGCGGAAGGTTCCAGACCGGAGACAAAGGCCCTGGCAGGGCGCATGCGCGAGCTGCAGCCTACACTCACCGTCTCAATATTTACTAACACGGCCGCCCAGGCTCCACAAAACAGAGGAGCGCGTTTTAACAGCATCCCAGTCTTAATGCGGGAAATAAGCCGCATTGCACAGGTCTAACTGTTGTAAGAGCGATCTGGGACGACTGACCCAGGGCAGGACTTCCAAGGCCTGGGCGCCATGTTCGTTACACCAACAGGAAACAAAGAAATGGATCCGAGTCTTTTTTTCTTGGATTTGCAATATTTGTGTATATTCACCGATTAACGGTGTTCCCATTTGCTCCGGATACAGAACGCGGGTCGATGCTACAGCCACGCGAGACAAGCGTGTCTTTCTCCTGGGGAAAGACACACGATTTCGCTCGCAGGCGCGTGGCCTGCACACCCACCGCCCTCACGAAATGGCGGAGCGACAGATCGCACCTCACCAAAGACAGAAATAAAACACAGTAATGAACTAGAAAGACGGGAAATAGACTACTGAAGTGAACAGTAACGATGTGCGTCTTCCCCCTTCCACAAATTCAGCAACAAACGAGCCACCGACTTATGAAAACACAACAGATGTCTTTTATAGCTACGACCTTTTACACCAATAAGCTTTAACTACCACGTTATTCAAAGCACGGGTATTTTGACTAAAAGGTCCTAAAAAACGCCTAGTAAGTTGCTTTAGTTTGAAGAAAAGCAAAAACTTACCTCCTTAGACATTACTACAAGATCTGTACCAGCACAGCGCCTCTTGCTGAAGGAACAAGGTCGAAAGAGCCCTTCTCACTGCTCAGGCTACTGAGTTATGAAGACGGTAAGTTCCGCCCACTGGCATCAGTGATTGGCTAAAAGTTCCCGCTGCAGCGCGGAGCTGGGAGAGTTGCTCAAAGCTCATTGGATAGAACTCTCGTCTATCTGGTCCTTCTAACCAATCGCAGAAATATTGTCGGAATAATCGCAC